GGCAGGTCCATGGTTGTGATGGGGGTCATGAGCTGCCTCAGAACGGACACTGAAGTCTCCTAGCACAACAAGCCAAGGGGATTCCAACACCACTCCAGAAATCAGCTCAGTTCACTCAGGAAGGGAGGCTGTTGCACCAGAGGGTGGGTGGTACGCCAACAGAATCCCTATTCTGTCCTGGGCTCTCACTTTCAGATACACACATTTGAACCCGGAAAACGGGGATGTTGAGCTGCCTCAGAACGGACACTGAAGTCTCCTAGCACAACAAGCCAAGGGGATTCCAACACCACTCCAGAAATCAGCTCAGTTCACTCAGGAAGGGAGGCTGTTGCACCAGAGGGTGGGTGGTACGCCAACAGAATCCCTATTCTGTCCTGGGCTCTCACTTTCAGATACACACATTTGAACCCGGAAAACGGGGATGTGGTATCTGATGAGGGAGACAGAACCACAAGAGACCACTGGAACTCCACCTCCCTGCCCCAGGTCTTGCCTGCTGCTGCACAGAAAACCCTGGTGGGCAAAGCTGGGTGAGAATAGCACCCTCAGCTTCATCCAACCAAGTCTCTGTAATGCAAGCCAGCTCGGCACGCTCATGCAGGATCAAGTCTGGTATAGCTGTAGTTTTCCTGTTATTGAGCAGCAGTACTTTCAGCCCAGGAATTCTGCCACAAAGGCTACCCAAATAATTTAAATTTGGAGGGGTGGGGAAGCAGAGATCTGCAAACAGCAGCAACAAGAGGAGGAGGAGGAATGGGTGGCAGTGAGACCATGAATGAGCTCTCAAACAAGAAGCTGCGTATGTGGCATTGTGATGACCAGAATGAGTAATTCATGGTAAACTGCAGATAACTGAAACCAAGTAAACTGAATCCCCACGTACAGGGGTTTTAGTGATCTGGCAGATTTACAGAGTTAGCGATCTAGCAGATTTAAAGAGTTAGTAGCTGCCATCTAACACCATTTTCTGTTGTGCAATCAATAGCAAAAAGGATAGCACATGCATGCTATCCCTGGTTGGGAATCATTGATCTACAGAATATTTTACTGTATTTTAATGCTGAAAGGATTACTATGGGTGATAGCAGCTCTTCAGCAATTCAACAGAAGCATTCTCTAGCCCTACATCAAGCTGCCAGGGACTGAATCCAGGGGTCCTTTGCATGTTCAGGCATTCCTCACTTAACAATCTACCTGTTTAGCGACACCTCAGATTTATAACCCTTTACAGCCCTCGTAAATGCCTGCTTGCATCTTTGACACACTCCTTCTCCGTGGTGCATAATTTATTACTCTTGTATACAGTTTATTGCTTCTCACTTATCGACCAATTTGCTTAACAACCTGGTCATAGGAAGGAACTGCGTCATTAAGTGATGAGTGCCTGTAGGTACTGCTTCCCCAATTCCCAATAACCGAGTCTGTATATAAGTAGCTGCCAAATGTTGCTACATTCCATACATCTGGTGAAGTGGGCAGCAGTCCGCAGAAGCTCAGGCCAAACAGAACTTTTAGTTGCTGAGATGCTATTTGTTGTTCCTGCAAGAGCCAAGATTCAGACTCTTGAATCTAAGACCTAGAAGATGAAGTAAAAGAGCACCTAGCATGTTTCAACAAATGCTCATAGTAGAGTTCCTGAAGTGTTACAATATGTACAATACACTGTATAGTTATTCCCAATGTTCTTGCACCATCAGAGATTGTACATAAGATATGGTAATGCAAGGACACGCATGCAGTTTCACTTTTCTTGAGTTTTACACCTACCATAAGCTGCAAAACAGCCCTTTTGCAAGTAGAATGGTATGTAACCCAGTATGTACTGGCCTTGCTCTCACTTGGCTCCGGTCCTTCTTGAAGGGCCGTCCCCAGAGAGTGCAGCTTGGGGAGAAGGTATCAGCCCTGTGGTCCCTCAGCTGTGGGGTCCCACAGGGTTCAATCAGGTCCCCAATGCTATTTAACATCTATATGAGGCCATGGGGGGTCATCCAGGGAAGTGAAGCTTTGTGTCAGCAATATGCTCATGACTTTCAGCTCTACATCTCCTTTTTTTTCCATCTGCAGTGGATGCCGTTCCATCCCTTGGGTGCTGCCTGGAGGCCTTTCTTCAATAGATGCAGTCGAATGGACTAAGGTTGAACCCGGACAAGATGGAGGTCCTGCGGGTGGTGAGCCACGATGTCAGTGGTTTGGGGAACTTCCTCTCTTTTGGGGGGTGACTTTTTCCACAAAGAATTCAGTTCGCAGTCTGGGGGACCACCTTGACCAGGCGCTTACCATGGAGACCCAGGTAGTGTCCGTGATTCAGTCTGCCCACTTATACCTTTGGCGGATTGCCCAGCTGCATCCCTATCTAGACACGGGGGCGCTCACCATACTGGTCCATGCACTCGTAGTCTCAAGAATAGACTACTATAATGCTCTCTACGTGGGGCATCCTTTGAGACTTATGCAGAAGCGTCAGATGGTCTAGAGCACGGTGGGTGAAAAGATTTCACAGGGGTGAAAAGATTTCACCATATTTCCCCCACTTTGGCCACCTTACACTGGCTACCTATCCGCTTCTGCATTGATTTCAAGGTGTTAACTATTACATATAAAGCCCTTAACGGTTTGGAACCTTGATACCTGGCAGAGCACCTTCTTCCGCCCAGTTCTACCTGTATCACCTGCTCTAGTCAGTCTGGGCAGCTGAGGGGCCTAATGCCAAGAGAGGCCCGATGGGAAAAACCAGAAATCAGGCCTGCTCGGCAGTGGCCCCTCGCCTTTGGAACAAATGGGAAAAAACAGAAATCGGGCCTTCTTGGCAGTGGCCCCTCACCTTTGGAACAACGTACCTGTTGAGATCTGCCTGGCTCCCTCGCTGAGGGCCTTCTAGACTAGCTTGAAGGCATGGCTATACAGTCAGGCCTTCCCTACAACCATTACCTATCCTATCTTCCCTTTTCTTCTTTTTCTTTTCTCTCTTTCTCCTTCCTCTTCTTCCCCCCCCCTTTTCTTTTTTCCTTTCCCATCCTGGATTAATCTGGATTTTATTTTAGTTTATTTTTATATTATATGTAAACCTCCCAGAGTAGACACATTCTAGATGGGTGGTATATAAATCTAATAAATAAATAAAAATAAATACAAACTGTTGCCCCTTATTAAATTACTGTATTACCGGTAAGACTGAAGTGATTCTTCCTCTTCATCTCCATGCATAAGATTTTGGACTAATTGGAGAATGCTCACCATATCTTGTCCACTAGAGAGAAAAAGGGAAGTGATAACATGGCTACATGAGTTTACTGTCATTTCTGGTTATTGGTAAATGGCTTTAAACAATGAGAACTGGAACATAACACGGACACTATTAACCTTGAACTCAGAAATAGTGAGGTGCCTTATCAGTTTGACAAGACAAGAAAGACATCCTAGAGAACTGAAGAATCCAGATTGCTTTATTTCCTCCATCTACAAATCACTGTGAACACAAATGCACACACAGAATCTCACTTGATGTGTACTATGCAATAACAGAACCAAAACTAAGATAATCACCTGGCAAATCTGCTTTGATTGTATTCCTGCATTGAGCAGGGGGTTGGACTTGATGGCCTTATAGGCCCCTTCCAACATTCCTTTTCTATGATTCTATGAAAGCATATGAACAAGAGTCGGCATGTTCTACTGATGTTATGGAGACAATTCAAAAATCTCTCTGTTTTTATCACCATATCAATTATGACCAATTTTAGCCCTTTTGACTCATTTTTGGTTGTAGGCATTACTTCTGAGAGAAAATACAGTGGTGCCCCGCACCACCGTTTAATGCATTTCTATGGGGTTTTTTGCCCCGTAAAGCGACGTTTCCAGATAGCGACGATAATCCGTTCCAGATAAATCGTCGCTATCTGGAAACGTCGCATGAGAGTTGGCATGTTCTACTGATGTTGTGGAGACAGGCAGTCAATCTCTCTGTTTTTGTCCCCATATCAATTATGACCAATTTTAGCCCTCATTTTGGTTGTAGTCATTACTTCTGAGAGAAACTATATCTAGCTGCTTTATGCAGATCAATGTTCAGCTGGTCCAGTTCAATAATCTCATAGACTCTCCTCTATGAATCATTCACAAACTTTATCATCTTGCATGATGTGACAAATAAAGTTAAACTGCTTTACGCAGATCAATGTTCAGTTCAATAATCTCATAGGCTCTCTCCTATGAATCATTCACAAACTTTATAATCTTGCATGATGTGACAAATAAAGTTAAAACTACATTCATTTCTAACGAGCCAATGGCAAGCCAAGGGTTATGAAGATGGTTGCTGAAGCTAATCATAAACAATGGTGACAAGTTCAGGTCCAGATGACACAGGAAACTATAGTTAGTTAAATGGAGAGGTGAAGGTCTTACAGATGTTCCAGTTGGTGGTTTGAGACCAAATCTCATTGTGACTTATGCAAAATTTATTAAAATGTGTAAACACAACACTGTCTGCTCTGACTGTCAGCAACTCAAAGTAGATTTTTTTTCACAGCTCTCTTGCCTGAGATCTAGAAATGCTAGCAAATGAGCAAAGCGCATGTGCAACCAACAAAACGTTGAGTCCTCTGTTTACACCAAGGCCTACCTTTGACTTCCAGAAGCTGAAAAGGCCGAGCCAATACATGAGAAAAAAATTCAAAACAGATTACATTACTTACCTGCCTTGAAGTGGTCCAGGAATATCCTTCCTTGTATATTTCTTTTCGTTTTCTTCCTCCACTTTCCTGTTTGAACACCCAAGGCAAGATGATTTTATCTCAACTTCTGGTTGGGCCACACCAAAATTTTGTAATAATTTGACTATGAAAGGAAACAGCTTAATTTGAGTAGCAACACTGCTTCCAACTCCGACCTGATCTCATTCTCTAATTTATATTATTAATATTGCATATTTTTTAAAAAAAACTTATAAAGTTATACCTTACTAAAACAAATATTAAAATGATGCTTTGTAAAGATTTCTCAGCATGTCACTTACTCTGTAAGATTTAAAACAAAAACATTCTACTGTAATAAAAGGAAATACAATCCTAACTCTAAACATGTCCTTTTAAAAATGTGGCTGCAAAGGTTTAATTTAAGGTTTGAATGAGTATTTCCATGTTAGCCCAACAACAAGGATCAATGATTTCTCCATATGCAATACCTTTTCTCAAAAATTGAACAAGTGCAAGGAAATCAGCTTATGGCTGTGGGAATATCTAGTCTCTCTTCAGAACAAGGGTGGGGAAGCCCCTACCTACGTATATGGTGTGGTGCTGAACATGCTGCCCTCCACCTACTGCTTAATATTAATTCAAAATGTATGTTAGTGCAAGTGGTGTGTTTGCCATCACTGCCAGGGCTTCATCTGTATTTCTCTAGCCTGGTAACACAGCTTGGAAATGGCACATTTTTGAATGACAGGTCCTAAAATCCCCCCAAATCAATGATCAAGCTAGCAGAGGGATTTTGGCAAATGCATTCCAAAAAAGTACCGTGTTTCCCCGAAAATAATTTATATTAATTTTTGCTCCCAAAAATGCATTAGGGCTTATTTTCAGGGGATGCTGTTTTTCATGTACAATAATCCACATTTGTTCAAAGGCAGTCCTGTCCTCTTCTTCCGATTTATATTAATTTTTGCTCCCAAAAATGCATTAGGGCTTATTTTCCGGGGATGCTGTTTTTCATGTACAACAATCCACATTTATTCAAAGGCAGTCCTGTCCTCTTCTTCCGGTTGCTGCACAAGGGTGGAGGGCAGGGATTCACTTAACGGGGGCTTCTTTTTGGGGTAGGGCTTGCATTACGAGCACCCTGAAAAATCATACTAGGGCTTATTTTCAGGTTAGGTCTTATTTTCGGGGAAACAGGGTAACTTTCCCAAGACTACTGGAAACTCTAGTATATCTGGTGCCCATTTAATTTGGGCTCATTTCCACAAAGAAAGACAGGAGAAGGAAATGTCTTACGTTGTACTTCTGCCTATACCAGGAACTTGGCATGGAGACATTAAGCAGATAACCGGGAGGATCCGACATTTATTTTCCATGAACCATTTCTGTTTCTCTTCCTCTCCTGAAATCTCCTTCTAGGCTACATATCAGAAATGCATTTTCTGACTTAAGCAACCCTACCAAATCTAGAGCCAGAGAGCAGGACTGCTGCTCTTTGGGCTCCTCACTAGATATGGGAGCTTTGCATTCGTATTCCTGGGGATATGAATACGAAGCGCAGCCCTGCGGGTGCCACGGAGGTCAATTTCCTCCCTCCAGAACCATGCAGGTCCACTCACTAGGCTTTGCGTGGTGTGCACAGCTATCGTTGGTAACATTGCACTGATCACAGAAGTACAGTGGAACCTCTACTTAAGAACTTATTCCGTTTTGGAATGGTGTTCTTAAGTTGAAAAGTTCTTAAGTTGAAGCAAAATTTCCCATAGGAATAACCGGGAGGATCCGACATTTATTTTCCATGAACCATTTCTGTTCCTCTTCCTCTCCTGAAATCTCCTTCTAGGCTACATATCAGAAATGCATTTTCTGACTTAATCAACCCTACCAAATCTAGAGCCAGAGAGCAGGACTGCTGCTCTTTGGGCTCCTCACTAGATATGGGAGCTTTGCATTCGTATTCCTGGGGATATGAATACGAAGCGCAGCCCTGCGGGTGCCACGGAGGTCAATTTCCTCCCTCCAGAACCATGCAGGTCCACTCACTGGGCTTTGCGTGGTGCACACGGCTATCGTTGGTAACATCACACCGATCATGGAAGTAGTGCAGATGGCACTTCCCCACCTCCATGGGCTGCTGGCCATTCTGGTGAGGAGGCAGGATGATGCGTCTCCCCATTCAGCTGCTGAGTGCTCAGCACTGGATGGAGGCAGAGAAACACTGGCCAGGTTACAATTTGTGTGATGATGACAGCATCAAAGCCTGGTGAGTGGACCAGGATAGTTCTGGGGGGGAAGAGTCTAAAGGTCCCAGACACCTGTGGTAGCAATATTTAAATTTGTCCCAAAGGGACACTGGCCGGGCTACTTCCACGATTTGTGTGATGATGACAGCAGCAAAGCCTGGTGAGCGGACCAGGATGGTTCTGGGGGGGAAGAGTCTAAAGGTCCCAGACACCTGTGGTAGCAATATTTAAATTTGTCCCACCCAGGAGACAAATGTGAATATCCCATCTCTACTGAATTTATCTCACCCAGGAGACAAATATGAATATCCCGTCTCTACTTCTCGCCTCTGAAAGCCCAGATCTAACTGTGAAATATCTGCTACATATTAAGAAGGAGCAGTGCTGCAAGGTTGTTAAAGCAACAGAACACACATTTCGAGCTCTCGCCTCTGAAAGCACAGATCTAACTGTGAAATATCTGCTACATATTAAGAAGGAGCAGTGCTGCAAGGTTGTTAAAGCAACAGAACACACATTTCGAGCAATACGTTCTGTCAGACTGAGCAAAAACATCAATATGAATACTGTAGCCTCTCTACTCCACCACTAGGCTTTCATCAAGACTGTGATTAGCAAGTACCTTTGATTGTCTTCAAGCAGCTTCATAGCCTCATTAAGATTTTTTCCCATTTCTGCTAAAGCAGGATCAACCATCTGTTGTTTAAAAAAAATCCACATTAGATTCAATAGCCACCAACCTTATTATACAGCCAAATGGTACAAATCAAGCAGAACAGATAACAGTAGCTGAGAGGTTTCTAAGAAACAACTCCATTGTGACCTGGAAGGTTTTTTCCTCCTCTCCCCTGCAAACCAGGAACACAACACAAGCCCAAGCCACACTGTCGCACATTTGGAATGGCTAATTATCTGTTACATCTCAACGAGGCCAGTCACACTGGCCTGGCACGTTCCTCCTTCCCAGAATTATCTGCCACACAGACAATGGAACTATACTGTCTAGGACTGAAACAGCTCACAATTACATAACTTCAAAAGATTCCCTGTTCTTGTAGAGGTATTCTGTGACCAAAAATGAAAAATGAGGTTCCCCTACAAGTAGAGAGTGATTCAGGCCCATTATTTAGTTTCTGCTCTGAATGGCAGTAGATTTCCAGGTCTTTGGCAAGGATCTTCTCCCGACTCTATTTGGAGATGCAACAGGTTGCGCCTGGAGCCATCTGAACACAACTATGCGCTGAGCTCAGACATTGCAGCACCTAGGAGAGTTCTGGGGGAACATTTTCATGGGTGAAGATCAAGCCCAGACTTTTATGCCCCGATCCTGAAGATGACTCACCCTGCCACACCTTCCTAACAAGTCTCTTCAATCCCTCCAAGAAAGCATGCCAAGTGGAAGTAGTAGAGCACTTAAGAAACGGGTGTCCTCGTGTTCCTGTGCAGGAGCTACTATTTTGGGCTCAAGAGTCCGGGGTCTCTGGCGACATGGTGGCACTCTTCCTCCATTCAGGATCACTGGTTCTTTAGCTTCTGAGCCCACAAACAGATTATTATGGGACTCAATATTATTAATAATTAACAACAATGAATAAACATCTGTTCTTGTAAGTGGCTTACCTGCTTGAGTAACAGACAAGAAGCCTATTCAGGAAATGTGCAGCTTCGTGTTAAATGCCTAAGCACCGACACACTTTTGTTCTTTTTATGTGGCCTGATCCTTTGACTAAGATAAGTTCCAAAAAGGAAAATGTGCTCTACATGCTCTGCATTGGCACTGTAAAGACAGCGGACATAAACTGAATATGGTCATACAGAGGAGTAACTGAATCCATGGAAACAATACGTTCACCTAATTAGTGTGTATATCTCTGATTACCAGATGGGTATAAGGTTGGTGAAACCATAATAACATCCTTTGCACAAATACAGCTGAGCCAGTAATGGGAACATATGAGTCAGATAATAAGCCATTTGGGAAGCTAGACACCAGCAGGAGCAAAAAGCATGTTGGCTTCCTTCTTCGACTTCGAAGATGAGAACTGATGTGAATTTCTTCCTACTTTTGATCCAGCATGAAAAATAACAGAATGATAAGATAAAAGATGTGTAGCATTTCTCAATGGTCTATATGCACCTGTCATCAAGTCAGGCTAAGTACAAGGCGCAGTTCCCAAAGGAGCCAAAGTTAAACTCCCCAGCCTGAAAGAGAATGAGAGCTAGTGTGTGTGCATGCACAAGAAAGAGGGGGTAAGAGCACTCTTCCCACCTGACGATCAAACACCAAAGCCCATAGTGACAACCAGAGGATGACTTTATTTCATATTCAGTTCCAAGATAGCAGCAGAGTAAGTTTGCTTAAGTTCTGGAATTCCTGTACTTGTAGGGCTTCCAAAGCAATGGAGAAACCAAGGAGTTAGGCAAACCATCCCGTTCTAATGAAATGAATGAAATTGCTTCAATAGATGTCCAATAGCTGGAACAGATGACTAAACTGGAATGGAGCCAACTGAACTAAGGCCAGGGCTAGGTGCCCTCCAGATGTTCTTAATACAACTCCAATCAGCACCAGCCAGAATGCCCAATGTTCAAGGAAGTTGTAGCTTTAATCCCAAACATCTGGAATGGATTATGCTGCCGACACCTGACAGCATAAGAGCAGCCCTGCTGGGTCAGACCAAAGGTCCACCTAGTGCAATAACTCATTTACCACTATGGCAAACCACATGTACACATTCCATAAATGGATAATTGCAAATGGTTCCTTTTGTACATCCTACATTATCTAGAAATAAGCCTTACAGAATGAAGTAACGTTAACTTTACAAGAGACTGTACTCCCAATCACATACGTTAATGCTACTATCCATGAAAGCCTTTTCTAGTACCATTGACAAAACACACAACCCATAAAAAATGTAAAGCTACTTCCGACAGTTTCCCATTATAATAAATTATTCAGTGGCTATCTAAAACACCACTGACTACAGGAGGGCATTAGAGAATTTCAGAAAAAGATCAGTCTTTGCTTTATTGACTACAGCAAAGCCTTTGACTGTGTAAAGCATGAAAAACTATGGGTTGTTCTGTGCCTCAGTAATTGACTGGCCTGATGCATAACTTGTATTGTGGAAAGAAGCTACCATTAGGACAGAATATGGAGAGACAGAATGGTTTCCTATAGGAAAAGGTGTCAGACAAGGGTAAATCTTATCCCTTTATTCCATCAGTATGCAGAACATATCACACAGAAAAGCAAGACTAGATTCAGATGAAGGAGGAGTGAAAATTTGTGGAAGAATAATTTAAGATATACAAATGACTTATAGTGAAAGAAGCCAAAAATCATGATTACAGAAGAACTACCCAACTTTAGTGTTGACAGTGTAGAAATAAAACTGTTACAGATATTGTACAACTTGGATCAATCATCACTCCAAATGGAGACTGCAATCAAGGAATCAGAAGAAGACTAGGACCCAGAAGAGCAGCAATAAAGGAATTAGGAAAGATTGCAAAGTACAAGGATGTGTCACTGGAAACCGAGATCAAGATCACCATGTACGGGGGTGAAAGCTGGACAGTTAAGAAAGTTGGCAAGAAAAGAATTGTTGTTGGTTAGTTGTTAAGTCATGTCCGACTCTTTGTGACCCCATGGACCAGAGCACGCCAGTGCAAAAGTAGATGTATTTCTGGAACTCTCTGGCTTTCTCCATAATCCAGCACATGTTAGGAATTTGGTCTCTAGTTCCTCTGCCTCTTCAAAATCCAGCTTGTACTTCTGGGAGTTCTCAGTCCACATACTGCTGAAGCCTACCTTGTAGGATTTTGAGCATAACCTTGCTAGCATGTGAAATGAGTGCAATTGTACGGTAGTTGGAGCATTCTTTGGCACTGCCTTTCTTTGGGATTGGGATGTAGACTGATCTTTTCCAGTCCCCTGTCCACTGCTGAATTTTCCAAACTTATTGGCGTATTGAGTGTAGCACCTTAACAGTGTCATCTTTTTAAGATTTTAAATAGTTCCACTGAATGCCATCACCTCCACTGGCCTTGTTGTTAGACAAGCTTTCTAAGCCCCACTTGACTTCACTCTCCAGGATGTCTGGCTCTAGGTCAGCAACCACACTTTCTGGGTTGTCCGGGACATCCAGATCTTTCTGGTATAATTCCTCTGTGTATTCTTGCCACCTCTTCTTGATGTCTTCTGCTTCAGTTAGGTACCTCTCATTTTTGTCCTTTATCATGTCCATCTTTGCACAAAAGTTTCTGGTAATATCTCCAATTTTCTTGAACAGATCTCTGGTTTCCCCCTTTCTACTATTTTCCTCTATTTCTTTGCACTGTTCATTTAAGAAGGCCCTCTTGTCTCTCCTTGCTATTCTTTGAAAGTCTGCATTCAATTTTCTGTAACTTTATCTATCTCCCTTGCATTTTGTTTCCCTTCTCTTATCTGCTCTTTGTAAGGCCTCTTTGGTCAGCCACCAGAAAGGTAAAATAAAAAATTCTAAACATTAAAAATTACAAGTATCTAAAAGAAGCCAATGGCAGCAGAATACAGTTCAGATCAGAAAACATCTAAAAGCAGTGCAAACAAACAGCAATACAAGATTAATACAACAGTTCCTAATTTCAGGAACGTATGGTCAACACATGTTGCTTAAAATTTCAAACATTTTAAAAGAACATTTCTGAATAGTTTTTGAAGAATGTGTCCAATAGCCATCTTTAATACACAAACAGTATCCAAACACACCAGTGTGCTTGGTACACATTCGTTGCCAATTTAGAATTCACAGAATAAAGGATTCTGTGTATAATGTAAAGGACCTACAAGGCCATCGTATCCAACCTCTTACTTAATGCAGGAATCCAAATAAAATTACGTCTGACAGATGACTGTCTAACCTTCTCTTAGATTACTACTATACCAGACAACTCACCACCTTACAAGGTTATTGGTTGCATTGTTGCACTGCTCTAACACTGGCGTGCTCTGGTCCATGGGGTCACGAAGAGTCGGACACGACTAAACAACAAGAGCACTTAGAACGTTTTCCATGATGTTCAACCGAAACCTGGCTTCCTATAACCTGAACCAATTATTATGTGTCCTACACGCTGGAATGACTAAAAACAGATCCTGTCCTTCCTGTGGATAACCTTTCAAGTGTCTGGAGAGTGCTATCATATCTCCCCTCAGTCTTTGTTTCTCTAGGCTAAACCTGACCAGTTCTTTCAGTCTTTCTTCATAAGGTTTCTTTTCCAGTCCCCTGGTACTCCTTGTTGCTCTCCTCTGAAATTGTGCCAGTTTGTCTGCATCCTTCTTAAAGTGCAGTGTCCAGAACTGGACACAGTACTCTAGATGAGATCTAAACGGGGCTGAAACGAAAAGAACTAGTACCTTATGGGATTTGGAGACGATGTCTTTTAATGCAGCCTAAAATAGCATTCGGCTTTTTTTGCAGCTGAAACTGTTGACTCATATTGAGCTTGTGACCAACATCTCCAAGATCCTACTCACATGTAGAATTACAGATCCAAGTATCCCCGCAGCCCCATCTTGTAACTGCATTTGGTTTCTTTTTCCTAAAAGTAGAACTTTGCATCTATCCGTTAAATTTCATTCTGTTGTTTTCTGCCCAATGTTCAAGCCAATCAAGATCTTTTTGAATATTTTTTCCGTCTTCCAGAGT